CAACAACCCACAAGCCAAGTCAAAGATGATAGTCAACCCCATATGCCCCCAGTCTCGACTGTAGATAACACATGGAATCCAATAAGCATCCCACTCCTCACAGCCGTGACATCCAAGCCACTTAACCAAAGCCATGACGGAGGATAAAATATACCCCATGAGAAGTCCCGGCAGAGTCACATGAAGCTAGCACGATCAAAAAACCATAATCCACGGTCTAGGGAGTTGAAGTGAACCTACAATAGCCCCTCAGCAACAAACCAAAACACAGCCAACAAAATCATGAGATCAATCATCACATCCCCCAGTCCCTCCCTTGGTAGATCACAAGCCTCAAACCCCACGGCAGTGTGCCCCTCACTCCATGTCAGGCGTGGCAATACGACCAATTAGGATGGGTCACATGAAGACAAGAAGCAACCGGAACCGATAGCTATCCTCCCGCTTATCTCCCAGTCTCTAACTCGGTTGGTTATCGAACCACTATTCCCCAAAGCAGTGACTCCCCAATCACTCTTGGCAGAGATGGCTCAAAACCGCCCTCATATCGAGTCACATGAGGATCACACAATCAATCATCAAAAAATCATTAACTATATATGTTCTGCTGCAAAGAGTCTAAACAAGAGAAGTTTCCAAATGAAACCAATAAACAATGGCCACTAATAGATAATCACCGATAGTTGTTTGAAACCGTTGTGTGTGTAGTGAAACCCTAGTTCCTGACAAAATAGGACAGGGAAACCCTACCCCAACATAGGGGTGAGATTGAGCTCTCTTTACTTGCTATGTGCTTTTAGAGTGTTACTCTACAGGAACGCACATGACAGTTTGCAAGTTTGAGTATCAAACCTGAAGACACCAGTACCAGTATCAGTTGTGGGAATCAGTTATCCACGGGTATCAGATTCAGTATTTTGGGAACTGAAATTTGGGAACAGTGATCAGCAGTAGGGTACAGTTGTTTGGCTACACCCGTGTTCGATCAGTTTGGGCTGAAATGCTGTCTGTTTTTCTTTCAGTTTAGAGAGTTGCAGAGTTGAAACAGAATAGCCAGTGTCCCCTTTTTGCTGAGGCAGGATTTATGGCGGCGCCAAGTTCAGAAGAAATTGTGGTTATGACGGCTGTATCGGAGCAGGGAACCACTCCGCAGAATGAGGCCAACATTAGTGTGTCACACCCGCCCAGGATGCCCGTTGTACACCCAGTCTGGGCTCCCCAGTTATATCAGGCTCGTGAGCCCACCACCTTCGAATTGATGGGGATGATAGGCGATCTCCAAAGGTCTGTGGCAGACCTCGCCTATGGAATGTCGGCTTCACCGCCAGCGGCGCCGTACGCCGGGAATTTTGTACCACAGGAGCCCCCGCTACTGGGGCGGATTGTGATAGAGCTCAACCAGCCGGAGGTGGCTTCCGGCTATAGCCACGACATGCCAGCACCAACCCAGACCCTTGATCAGGCTGAGGCCAGGGGAAAAGATAAGGCAAAGATAGACGCCGACCCTATTGAACAATTGCTGTGGGCAGTCGAGGCTCTGAAGGCCAAAGGGATGAACAAGCAACAAACATCTGCAATAGCGACCAAAGCTGTAGATGATGCTTTCCCCGCTCCAATCAAAGGCAGTTCAAGGCAGACAGAAAACCGGGATGGGCCCCGTCATGCCCAGGAGAGGGATGAACAAGCAACAAACATCTGCAATAGCGACCAAAGCTGTAGATGATGCTTTCCCCGCTCCAGTCAAAGGTGGTTCAAGCCAGGCAGAAAATCAGGATGGGCCCCGTCATGCCCAGACAGTTCCTGTAGCTCCCAACCCTGCATCGGGGAAGGTTCAAAAAGCCAAGGCGGCGCCAGCCGATCCTTTCGCCAGTGCATCTGGCAAGAATCCTCAAACTGCAAAGTACCTGCCCCGAGGGCGCAGGGTTTTTCATGACCTCCACATGCCTTTGTCTAGGGCATTGCTAATATTGGCGAAGAATGGGCATCTTAAGCCTTTGGAGCCCCGGCCACTCCCGAAGAATCTCCCCGCCACTCATGATGCTACCTTGTACTGCGCGTACCATCAACAGTCCGGTCACAGTACCGATGGATGTTCCCGCCTTCGTCATGAAGTGCAGGATTTGATTGATGACAAGGTTATCCTACCACCTACCTCAGGCAAGCCCGTCACCACTCAGTTGTTGGATTTCGAGGGCTCAGATACTGCGAGTATGTAAAGTCAACCGCCTGCAGGCAACGTTTGGTACATTTTTGATGAAGCGCCTGGCACGCATTTTTGAGCATCGGTGAAACTGAGTTTTGTAAATCCTGGCTTGGATATCGAGTCGGTCTTTTGTTTTGAGTCTGTCTCTTTGTTTTGAGTCAGTCTTTTTCTTTTCTTTTTTTTTTTGCTTAAGGGTCTGTCTGGTTGTATCGAGTCAGTCCCCGTTGTATATAATACCTGGTGATTCTGGGGTTGTTGTCCCGAACACCATTTTGTTTTGTAATTATTACCTGTTTTTGTTTTGAGTCTGTTTCTACCGAGGGGCCAGTTGCACCAACAAAGCCGATCAAAACAGCTGTTGCTATCTCAAACTCCATGCTTGCTTTCAGCATAAGTGCCAGAGAATTTGATTGGGCTGACAGTACATCCTGCCTGCTCTCTTGTGTGCCCAAACTCATTGCATTAACCTAAGTTTTTCAAAAAACAAACTTTTGAACACTGCGGTGATGAAAACGAAGAGGAAGGAATTCCTCGGGTTTTGCAAAATTTTGATCATTTTGAGAGAAAGAGAGGCGTGCTAAGCCTTTTTATGAATGAAATCATGCTTGTCGGCGTGAGTACTGAGAAGGATCCTGGCCTGATCCAGATTGGTTCTACACTATCTTCGGCGTGAGCAATTTGTCGCTTTCTTAAAAAACTTTCAAAAAACAAATATTTTACGCGGCCTTGTGAAGACCTGTGTGGAATCCCTCTTGAGGTCGCGCAGCCTAGGATCGCTCTCAGCCTCAAGATTCAACCCGTTCGCTTTCCAACTTTGAACCCGTTCAGAACATTCAGAGAGTTCAACGGTCAAACATCATGCAAGGTCTGTATGGCCAATTCTGAGGTAGCCTTCGATCAAGAAGCATCAAGGCCAAATCAGAAGGAGTAGATCTCGCCGGAAGAAGCTCGTAGAGTAACCCTGATGGATTCTCCGCAAATCAGTGCAACAGCCGTTCTCCTGGACACAGAGAGGCTTCAATTTCAAAAAACCATTTGGCATGGACTTGCTACACTTTTACCCTTTGAGAGGCTCGCTGGGCCGAAAACCCGGAAGGGCGGCCCAGGCAAAAGTTAGAGCAAGAGAAAAATACAAAAGAAAAGAGAAGAAAAGAAAAGAAAAAAAAGAAAGAAAAAAAAGAAAGAAAAGAAAAAGAAGAATGAAAAAGAAAAAATAGAAAATGAAAAGAAGCTCGCAAGGTCGAAAACCCGCATTGGGCGCCTTGGCAAAAGTAAGAGCCAAACAAAGTGAAGGTTAAAATACCCGAGTGGACCTTAACCGGAACTACGTAAGGCTTGATTCCCATGTTTGGGATACGTAGGCAACTTCATCATGAAGTCCAGCCCCCAACGCTTTCATAAGCGTCCCAGTCCATGCAATGGTTTCGACTTCAAAGTCCAGTGGCCAACGCCCTCCAAAGGCGACTGTGTCCATATATTTGTTGTGACCGTCTTCGTCATCGCAGTATCCAAGAGCTCGACCACCGCCAATGAAGACTGTCTGCGGATTGCTGCGGCACCATCCCAAACAAGGGGCAACTTTCCGTTACGTGTGCATGTGTAGCATGCCATCTTTGCATTGTTTTGATGATTTGGAATCATCCTACATGCTATTTCAGTCCCATTTCCATGCATGT